GGCACGAGTGAGTCATCTCAACTGGGGCAACAAAACACTTGTTGAAGGGAATACTCGTATGCCCTAAGACACCAAGTCTCACCTCATGGTTACAAACTCGAAATTGTCATAACATATGAGCGATACTTCTATCGAAGCGACTGATCAAATGCAGAGACACTTGGGACTAGCTTAACGACCGCTAGGTATAGCGTATGAAACACTGGAGTTGCCTAGATATTTCATGCTAGTAACAGGAACCACAGTGGGATTACGCAATTTCGAAATGTTTCAATCCTAAACAGGATGAGGTCATAACTCGCAGGTTTGTAGTTGGTGTCTGTCCACAAGCTAAATCGACAAATACCTACAGCTCCCTACCGACCATTTGTTGTGCACGTTATATCCGCATTATTCTCCAAAATCGTAAACATGTCCGCGACATGTTCTGGTGCCAGAAACTAAGCATCTTTTAACATGGTAAATCTAGTGAACTGCATCAATTGACATTTGCGCTATGATGCCTGTTATACTGTTCGGAAATCCGACCTTATCTGTATAAGATCACGATGCAGTTCCCCGGATGATTCATGATTCTAAATTCCGGTGTTGATGTCGTGCCACTAGTGTCATCGCGGCGGCCGCGCAAACGAATATCCGACTACTGGGTTGCACCTGATACCACCACTTGGGAATAACAGTCGCACCTGCTCACGGTCTCATCGGGAATGTGACTTGGATCCGAAATACCAATCCCGAGGTAATGATTGTAATGTGAGTGAACCTGCAGGATCACTACCTAGTCTGAATGAGCGCAATAAAATGACCGATAGGACAAGTAGCTGCGAGTGTGTTACTTCATCTGCGGTTCACAAATGCGGTTCTTGGTAAGGTCGATGAAGCTAGAACCAGGTCCTTGTCAGTTCTACTGGGTAGAAGTGGTCGAAATGGCAAAGAATAAAGGCGATATACGACGGTAAAGCAGTTCTGTTAACGGCAGATCCCTCCAAATCTCGCACTCGAGCGGATGAATTTCGTTCGAAGGTTCCAAACTATCCTCTAGATTGTGAGCTTGTCTACTAAGACCGCAGACAGCACTGTCTCAACAGCTCTAACTATATAAGGCAGCGGTGAGCAAGTCCAGGGCGGGAGAGTGATTGCAGAGTATCACAGGGATTCGCCTAAGGTCGATCGAGTCAAAGATGAATGGATGGCATAATTTAGAAAAAAATTCCAATAAGATGTGCAGTAAGTTGGGGTAATTCCGCACCTTTTCTAGTTATATAACTTTTTTCTAAATAGAAGGTAGTTTTGGTCAATGCAGAAATCATCCTTTTTTAGCGAACCATTTTGCCAGCTTCCTGTTTACATACAATCAGCACCATGTACAAGTGTTCAGCTAGAGATGTAGAATACACGAGAAATGCAAACTCAACTGCATGTAATTAGACATGTTACACTTTAAAAGTCTATAATTGTCTTAAAACTCATTATATTGTCAGAAATCGAGTAATGTGGGTTAATATGGTTATAGCGTTACTAATTGCCCACGTTTAAATTATTTGTCTCATGAGCTGATTTTACGTTCGTGAGCGAGAAGTTACTAGCATGCTGGGGGAATTACGCATCCCAAATTAAAAGCTTGTGGGGCAATTCCACATATCACGGTGTGCATTTAACCCATGTTTATTTCTGAGCTTTTTGCATGCGAGTAATCCTATGTGGATTTCTTTTCCAGTTACAGAGTGGTCGAAATTACAAACGTAAAAAGACAGTATATGACACAGCTGCAATGGAACAAACGGTCGCTCAAGTTAGAATAAGTATCATGGGGTAGAAGAAAGCTGCCGTAGTACAAATTGAAAAGATCACGTAAAAGAAAAATACAGCAAAATGGGAGCTGGTAGAAAAATAATTCCCACTGAAGCAGAACTTTCCAGCTGTTTAAAAGTTGGTGCCCAGTGGGGGTTTGGATTCACATACACAGAAGCGATGGAAGTTGTGGGTGATTTTATTACGTGTTGGTCAAGATAGGAATGCTCCTTTTAAGAAGAATGTTCCTAGTCGAGATTGGTTATACAGCTTCTTAAAGAGACAGCCGGATCTGATATTGTAGCGAGAACGACACGACAGGGGGGTAGACGTTTATTGCACACCGAAAATGGGCACATGAGGGTCTCGCGCGCGCCATCGAATATCGACTAGATTTCCGTCCCACCACGCAACACAGGTACGGATGTTGGAGACGAGCCAGTCCTTTCGCCTCGGGAGCTCTGACTTGGAAGATCCGCCTTCCTGTTTTCGCCTCGATCTCCGCTTCTCTGCACCCGATTTGGATCGGCCAGGAGTCGTTCGAGAGCTCTCGACTTGCTTGTTCTGGGCTGTGTCAATCGGCTCGGCCTCGGTCCTGTGGGTTGCGCTAGCGGCGTATTTGTCTGATTTATTGCGCTGTCCACATATTCCCGCTCCGTAGTTCCAGGCCCAGGCTCGTCGCTAGCCGTCCTTCTCGATCCGCTCTTAGCTAGCTCCGAAGAGCTCCCCCGAAGCATTCTTGAAAGCGGCCCCTCTACACCCGCCCCTCCTCGAGGACCTTTCTTCCTCTCGTACCATGGTCGCAGGAGAGCAGCATTCACCCAACGTTTCATTCCTCCGCAATCTATTAAGAAGTTGCCCACTTTCTGGTCGATAATGGTGTAGGGGCCTTTCCAGCGTTCTCTGAACTTGCTTGCACCCGGCCCGTCATGATCCGGCCGATCGTTGTTCCGTAACTTGACCCGTTCTCCAATCCTGAATGGCCTCCACTTGTGAGCCTCATGCCTGGCGTCGTAATTCCGCTTATTCCGCGCTTGTCGAGCTTCGGTTTCGCTTCTAGCTTTCCCTCGCAGCCGCTCTTGATGCTCAGCTGGATGTTTCAACTCACTCTGGTTCGGTAGGCAAGTATCGAGCGCAATCCGTGGTTCTCTGCCGAACAGTAATTCGAATGGCGAGACCTTGGTGGTTGATTGCATG